GCGTATCGCCGTGTAGCCTAGATGAGGTATCATCCTCCCAGGCCTACATTCTCTTTTATTCTGAACTAGTACCTAAGGCGCCTTTATCCAGCAGCCTTATGACTTCGAATGCGAATTGTCGTCCGACCAGTGCACTCTCTGCATCGTCTACTTCCAGCTGTGCATTAAATTCCCCTTCTATTTCCAGTCTCACTTCATTACTCCCGCTTGCTTCGGAAAACCGATCTTGTGGACCACTTCAAAAGCAGTCCTCAACATCGTATTTCCCAGTGAGCCAGACACCTTTATCGCCAATCGAGACTTCAGCTGCACTTCCTCCTGCACAAGTGCCGTCCCTCTCTTTTCACCATCCACCTCCACCGCCCCAGTTTCTGCCACCGGCATCATCTCATTCAGCAGTCGTCTCCAACAGCAATTCGGTATCGCTTTGCCGTACATCCTCTCTGTTGGCGTTCTGGCCCGATGGCAGCGAGAGTAGTCAGAGCGAGAATAGCGAAGAAAGTACTCATCCGGCTGGTCGCTCACCAAATGGTCTCAAGCTTCGGTCTACATATGATTTCCCTGCCTCAGGGAGACTAAAACAGAAAATTTTTGAGTCGACCACGCCGATTACGACGGCTTCAACAGCAACAGCTGTCGCTCCAGAGGCTGCTTCAATTGGTGTTGCACAGTCCTTGCTACTTGCAGGTCTCGAGCGCACAGCTTCGTCAACCATTATAGACACACAGATAAACGAATCAGCATCCCGCCGACATGCTCGACGGCCCCACCGGCAAACACATTCTGCTGAGAGCAGTCCGACTAAGGTTCTGGCCAGTTTTCTTCAGGTGCCTGAGGCTGGTGGTGGAGTGATGACACGACGCATGTCCGAACGCCAACTCAGGCGTTCCTTAACCTCAACAGACACATCTGAAATCCGAAATGAAACAATATCATTGGCAACTCAAACTTCCAAGGTAGTGGCCGAGATGGCCTCCTCTAGAGACCAGTTCTCTTGTTCGGGTCCACTTCGCCCTTTGCCTTCGCTTCCTCTCTCTCGGCGCCGTATCGTGTCTTTTACGGTCCTTGAGAACTCTGACTCCTCCGATGTCTCTTCTGAATCCTCATTCTCTCCTTCGCTTTCTCTCTCTTCTTCTCTGCCTTCTCCTTCTCCCTCTTCCAATTCGATTGATTCCACTTCAGACGCTCCTCTTGGCAAGTTTACCCGCGGCCGGATCCGTAAGACTATTTTACCAGAGCGTGCAGAACAAACTGATCAAAATCCTCCCGTTCTATCTGCAGCTTCTCCCTCCCTTACTCATGTATCTCCCTCCATCTCTGCTTCCTCTGCCGGAACTTTGGAGCCTCAGGAGACTGATATATGACCCTGGCTTTTATTGACATAACTACCTCCAATTTATCCAGGCAGAGTTATAAATTACTAGACTTATTGGGAAACTGTTGTCCCTCATTCTACAATCTTGCATTTCCTGATTCTGTCTGATTCCAAAGTCTTTATTGAAGCTTGTGTACGCGTGATAAGCATCATATCAGGTGAGCCAGACTTTAAGCTACTACTAACAAAATTTATTTATGATTTTATATTAACATGTTCTTATGGGCTAATGCATTTTTTCTGATTCACTGCTTAGATTGAGCTTGTCTAATTAAATCATAGGGCTTACGCTATTATAATTATATATATATATAATAAAATCCAGATTTATTTCATCCTGATAGTTGACCGATTTAATAACTTACACTCTTTACAAAGATTAATGAGAAAATAGATTGGGGTATCAACTTATCTTATAAATAATTTTGTTCAAACAACGACTCTCCCTCTGTCCTTTTCTCGCGATGATTCATAATTATAGTATCTAAGGCCGGTAAGAATGAGTCAATTGGTTAGAACCGCATAATTTGACACGATGAAGTGTTATTGTTTTTTGCATTTCTGCAATTCTGAAACATCCACCAATAAAAATTGTTTGACTTTATTTTCGCAACTTGGTCATATTGGTAGGAAGACTAATAGAAAAGCACCTTGTCCTGAGTCCATTGTATGCATAATTATTTTCAAAGTCGGACCGTGGACGCGGTACATTCTCAGACGTTTCGCCGGCATCGTAGTCGGCATCGTCAATGAGTTTTACCACTCGTAGCACCATATTACAAACTCGTCAAAGAGACAAGTGAAGCCGATCCTTTGACCAAACCTGTGCTAAA